TCATAGATAAAGGAAACGGCACAGGTGTGATAAACACAGACAGATTGGTTTATAAAAAGATTTCCTGTATAAAATATGAGGTCAGTTGGGCTTTTTAGCCTCTCGGGTAGCTTAGTTCCTCGGATCTTGTCTGTGTGGGTCCAAAGTGGTCTAAAGATCTGAACTTGGAACCAGTCCACATGTCTAGGTGTCCATCGGGAAGATGCTAAACTCCAGGTCTGTTTGAATTTGTCGTATAGCAGCATGAAAACACAAGTTTCAGACAAACAACAAATAAATGTTTTAAAAAAGATGAAAGAACATACAGAACGCCTTTTAGTCATCGCCTGGCATTTCTGACAGAACGTCTCCTGAACCAACCAGCTGGCGTCTCTAACGCCGTGTGACTGATGTTTTCTTCAATTTTATTCAAAGTCATGTTTAAAAAGCCTTACAGTCTTAACTCGAACCTGTATGAGCCCAGTCTGGGTCACTTGATTCTGTGAGAAATCTTTCTAAGAAATCCACTCCACCACAGACAGATCTGGTCTTGCAAGAATCCTGATCTGTTTCCAGGAAGTAGACTGTGGACTGAAGGTTATGCCGTGTCACTCGTGTGGACTCATGTTGATTCTGACCCTGCTGCTGGGGCTTATTTCATGTCTCCATGTTTCTCTCAGGTACTCAGATCAGCTGCTTTGCTCCGACTAACTTCTCATGGAGGCAGGCAGCTTATGTGGACTCCTTCTGCTGGGCGGCCGTGCACACACAGGCTCTACCTCTGTGGCTGCACAAGGTACACACACACAGTGCTACAGTTACTGAAAGGTGTAAGCCATCTTAATCTCACCGTGTTTGATTCAGAGTGAAAGCTTTCTGACGTTCACAGGCAGCCTCGGGTTTGTGATTTCAGGGTGTGGTTCGGATATTTTTAGTAGGGTGCATTCTGAGGACTGTAATGGGCGTGCATGTTTCCTTACATACCTACAACGATCTTTCTATAATGACACCGGATAAACCTGCACAAGAAATCTGGCGATCAAACAGCTGATCGTGCACAAAAGCACAGTTAACCCTCAGAGCTTTGCTTTCTGTCTTTCAGCTCATTCTGTCGGATTTGAAACGTGAGTCTGCTCTACCAGTCCTCTTCATGGTTCAGGTTTTATCATTAATGAGAAAGGGCATGCCCATATTTTTCTTTCATTATGATTCACCCCTTTTTTGGGGGGGTTTGTGGTTCTTATGTCACTCAGTCTGTAGTTGGTTTCATTTCTAAGTACAATCCACTGGAGTCTGGAGCCTAATCATAGAGAGAAGCTTAGATTCAAATCAAACTATCGGTTCGCCTTCACAGTTTCACTCTTGGCTCATTCCCGCTCTAAATCGGCTGATTTGTTTTTGTTTTTCATTTAAAAATGTTTGTTTGTTTGTTAAAATAAAGAGTTGATATTAAGTGAGTGTGATCGCCGTGGGAAACTTTGTTTCCACCCTTTTTAATTCACCTTATTTTTGGAGACTACGTGGAGGCATCCACATAAAATTGTCACGTCTTAAAAAGGCCATTTTACACCCAGTCCAAGTGATCTGTCTGTGATCTGTCTGTCATAGTTTCAATAGCAA